ATCATGTGATTCAGGTGTGTTGACCCAAGGTGAGATCTAAAATCTGCAGGACACCGGCCCTTGAGGCCTGGAATTGCCCATCCCTGAATTAAACAATTACTTAAAAATCAATCACCTGACCCAGCTGGTTTAACTATCTTCAAACTTCTTTTGCCTCAAAGGTTCTTGAAAGTGTAATTGTAAAACAGGTAATTTATGATTTGTTGAAGAATGGTTTATTTGAAAGGTTTCACACAGTATTCAGAAATCAACATAGTGCAGAGCACGAGTGAAGCACTTCTTATGTTTTTTCCCCCTAGAAGAGCACTTCTTGGCTATGCTTTTTTAGGTTTGTGCATTTTGAATAAGTCATCCTTCAATTGAAGTTGTATTACAAGTGTAAATAGATCAATAAAAATCCTTTTTTCGTTCAGAGAGTAAATCAGGCCTTCAAGCCCCATTCTTTCCACAGCATCATGTGCTCTCTTAAACCTAGGTGGTATTTTTACTTAAAACCAAATGGTTAGATGTAAACACAATCTTTATTCATCACCTGCCCTACTCTACAGATTTAGCTCCTGTAAATTTATTTCACATTCAAAGAGAAGTGTCAACACAAATATTTTAATGTTGCAGAAAATAAGAAAGAAGCAGTTTATTCTGGGAAAATAAAGTTTTGCAAGAAAATAATTCTTTTTTATTACATATTCAGTTTGTTCCTATTAAAAGAAGCAACCCAACTCCAAGTTATAGCAGTAGTCATTTCATTCCTTATGTAGCATTACAGCAAAATAAAATAGGTACGGTTGCAATATCAGAAACTTTGTTGCCAGGTGTATCATGCTTTGCTGTGACCCAGGAATCATCCGATGTTCTTGACACAGACAGATGGGAGGAGGTTTGTACAGCTCTTATTATCCCAACACTTCTTTTCTGTAAACACCAAAAGTCAAGATTATCTGAAATCATGATCACATTGGACACAAACTTACTAAGATGAATATTGTGAGGTGAAACTATCCCCTGGGACTTGTTGGGGACTTGGGAAAAGAGTTTAACATAATGACTGATGCACACATAAACACATGGGAAGTGGTGCAGGAGAAGGACTCACTGTGCAATGGCAGTCTCAGACTATTAAACATAACAACGGGATGGTTCTGTTAGCGTTTGTGATTATCTGAGGTAATTTACTCAAATGATGCACAAAGGCTCACTCCTGCATTCTGTCATGCTCACATTTTTCAGAAGGAATTTGGGAGAAATATATTAAATATCATTTAAAAGATTTAATCTGCTTTGGCAGTTGAAATTACAAGTTACAGCACTGTACTTTTGTGTGAAGCAGTTCACTGCTTCACACAAAAGATGACCCTCATTGGACTGTACAGCTCATATACTGTGACAATAACAAAAGATTATTATGGTCATTTTCTCCCAGCACCCATCCTGATGTCTCCCTTCAAATCCACTCCGTTCAGTCCGACCTCGCCTCATATCTGCTCCTCCTGGAATCAGAAAGGCAGAGAAGAAAAACAACCGCGGCTAAGCCTTGGCTTTCTGCGGATTTCTAAGGCCCAGGTCAGGACATCTTGTTCGGACTTCCTGACCTAGAGACAATATTCTTACACAGTGTATGTGTAAGCATGCTGCAAAATATCCCTCTGCACTCAACGTCCACAATATAACGCCAGACAAAGCTTAAAACCCTCAAAACACGAAGCGCCAACTCGGTTATGAGCAGAACTGCATTGTGTATATAAAAAAAATAATGAAAAAAGCTCTAACTAATCATTTAAATAAAAAAAATCTAAAGTTTTCGACCCTAACAGTTCCATGACATTTTCTTTACAGCATGATATATACAGCATGTACAAAAAATGCTGTCATAGTCCCTGTTCCTGAATCCAGTCATCTTAAATCCCTATTTGACTTCAGACCTTTTGCTCTAATGTTAGTTGTCTTGAGGGTCCTAGAAAATCTTTTCAGGCCAGAAATCATGAAGAAAGCCTGTATATCTCCTTGATCTCATTACATTTGACAGCCAAAATTTTGCAGGGATATGAATATTTTATAGACGTGTCGATGAGTTTTTATTTCTGCACTTTTTCTGTTTTTGTCATTTTTATTGGTTTGTTTGTTTGTTTTACACTCATTTTTATAATGTGATGATTAAATCTAAAATGAAATTAGATAAACAGGTTAGTTTGCTGTACTGTGATTGATTTAAAGTAAAGAACAGTGTGTGACTGGTGCACAGTCACACACTGGTGGCTGTGGTTTCTTGGTCAGAGTTAGGTTACATCAAGTGTAGGAGAGATTTGTATGAATTTGAGCTGATAATGGTGAGATCCTGTTTACAGGCAAAGTCACCCACTACAATGTAGACAACAGAAAATATAATTTATTTTATATTTCTTCTTTTTCTTCTGATTCACAGAGAGTATAATTATAAAAAAGGGTTACAGTAAAGTTTGTTTTCCCATCTACTTAAATTATTTTATTATTATGTTATTATAGCACAAGGTTCAGTTAGCTTTGCACACAAACAGAAATATACTCCAAAAACGGCTTTTTACTTACTTACTTTGAGTACATTTCAGTGCCAATACTTTTACTTAAGTACAGAATGTCTGTACTTTTGCCAAATCTCATTACAGAAGCCAGGCTCCTCTACAGCAATTTCAGGCTTTTCCATCCCCAATGCACAGCAACTGATGGAGAAACTGAGGTCATTGAGGTCAGTGTGCATTAAATGTACCATTGTGTTTTGGACATTGACCTCAGTGACCTCAGTAAAATTCTTTGTCATGTTAAGATGTGATTGGTGCAGAAAATGTTAACTTATTTACCAAGAATCTTACAGGTCAGAGATTGAAAAATAGCTCTTATGAAATTGTTCATCAATTTTTGAAATTGAAATTGAACTTCACTTGAACTACACTTTTAAAGCATATTTTTAAAAGCTGTTTTTCCTTCACAGTTTCACCAAGGCTGTTACCTAATGGTGGATCTGATAATGATCTGTAAGTATTTATAAATAAGTCACATCTTTAGATATGATCATTATCATGATTTATATGCTTTTTATGGCAAAATAACGAACGAGAAATAACTGAGCATGTCAAATGAAAAGCTGTCACACTGGAAACTTGTACAGACAAAATAGTTTCAGAAGTTATATTTAGTAAATGATTTGTGTGGTGATGGGAAAAGAGATGACCCTTCTGTTTGTAGCCAACATATGGACAAGGCACATTCTTTGAATTGTTCCACGACTGTCTAATTAAGGGCCTTGCAACTCCTTGATCTGTGATGGTGATTGTACAAGTTTTCTACAGCTGTTATTTCTCCAAATGTATTTATTTGTTAATATTCTGTTAATATTCTGTTATTGGAATGAGTACTTGTGTTCACGATGGCTCCAAAAGTCTGCCGTAAAGAGTCTGAGGTATCCACCTTAGTAGAAGGTGCTCATTTTAACTATTACCAGATGTGCAGCTGGGCCACATATAAGTTGAGGCAGGAAACCCACGCGTGTACGATATCTCAAACTGACTGGGACGTTACTGCTATAGTATAAATTTAGTGGATACAAGAAACATGCTTCGTAACAGTATGTATCCTATCATGCTAGCACTGATCTGATGTTTATGAGATCCCGAGGTCTGGCTCTCTGCCTTACTGTAAAAGTCATCCCAAACCATTGATAGAGATACTGTAAAAGAGGTTCAGAGAGTCAATCAGGTCTTCAAGCCCCATTTTTGCCACTTCATATGTTCTTTTAAATGTAATATTTTTAAAAAGTTGCACATCAATAAAACCTTTGCTTACCACCTGTCCTTGTAAATGTGTGCTTCTCTTCAAATTGACAGTCACTCAGAAATATCAATGCTTAAGATTTTAATGATACAGAAAATAAGAAAAACTGTTCATTTGGGGAAATAACATTTTGCAAGAAAAGCGTTCATTCCATTACACTTTCAGTTTGCTTCTACAAAGAGAAACAATCCAACTCCAATCATGCCACATGTGACTTCATTCCTTATGTCGCATTAGAGCTAAACAAAATAAGTAAAGCTGAACCTCAGAAACAGATTCTGTAGAGGATGTATGAGAGTGACTGCTTCTTTGCCAGGATTACCATGCCTTCATGTCAGCGGAAATCATCAGATGTTCTTGGTGCAGACAGATGACAGTAGGTTGGTACAGTATGCATCACCCCAACACTTAAGACCAAAAATCAGCATTGCTGAAAGGAATATCTTGGTTTATATAATAACAATAATATTAGTCAATATTCACTGTTAATTATACTATCACATCACTCTGTAAATATGTATATATATTGTAGCAATCAGAGTTATAGTCTGACGACCAAGAAAATGCCCAACAGATTTACTTTCACAAGTGGATGATTATGGCTTTTGCCAGACTCATCCACTTGATTGTCATAGTTTGTCTAGTCTTTATTATTTATTCTTTTTTTTTAAATATTTCTTTTACTTGCTATCATCCCTTATGTAGCCAGTTTATCAAAGAAAAATATTCTCCAAACATGACATACCATTGCACACCCAGCACACTCTATACTTTCAGGAATTTCTGATTAATTTACCTCCAAAATTCATCCGCAGGCATTGCTCATAATACCAGTTGCTTGGCTGTCCAGGGCACCAGTTTGTGTATCTGAGCTGTGTTCCATCGATCCAATACCAATAACCATTCTGCAAAACAGAACAGAATAGACAATAATGCATTTAAAAACAAGCTAAAGTGCAAGAACAAATGGTAAATCCACATTTTTACCTGAGCCTGAGCCCAAGACATGGCATGAAAAACATAGATAAAACAGCGTTTGGAGTACTCTGTCCAACCATGAGGGCATTGTTTTTTTGGCTTCATATCATGAGGTTCACCTGAAAAAAAAAGTACTTTATAAACTGGTGTCGAACAAACTATCCTATGCCTAGAAATGAATTTAGTTTTTATATTTATTATTTAATTTCAGACCATTAAACACCAGTTTGTATATCTGAAATTTGTTCCATCGATCCAAGTCCAAATATAATTCTAGAAACAGAACAGAAAAGAAAATAATACATTTACAAACAAGCTAAACTCTCAAATAACAGAGGGTACAAACAAGGTACTTGCTATGCAGAACAATACTTTATCTGTCAGAATTTGCATAATGATGAGATGTATACCGCTTTTGCATCTGAGCCTCCGAGCCATGTAGGTTTACACTGGCGAGTGGCACAAAATATCAGCCTCCGAATGAACTTGTGCTCTCTGTAGCTGTGTACAGATGCAAGGTTTGCCTTCATTTGCTCACAGTTTTTCTACAGTGGAGTTCAAGAGACGGGAAAATTCCCAAAGTAAACAAAAAAGGATTAAGGATTTCACAAAGCTATACTTACAAAGCATTAAAGCATTAAAGTCAATCCATGAAGAATAAAGGTTAAATGCACATTTTTACCTGAGCCTGAGCCCAAGACAGGGCTTGGGAAACATAGAGGAAGCATTGTTTGCAGTACATCTTCCAGCCAACTGGACAGCGTCTGGGTGTCTTCACAACATGATCTTCTCCTGAAGACAAGCATACAAAGCAACACTAAAGTACTTTTTGGAACAGTCATTTTGGTTTTTAGCTTTTTGGACCACTTGGTTTGGGTTTTTTTGTTTGTTTGTTTTGGGGTTTTTTGTTCTTCTTATGTGTTACACTTCAAATCAAATATCAAATGTTAATTTCTATCAATTAAAAAGGATGATATAAGTGTATTAGACTATCACTCATCTAGTTTTTATGACATGTGGTCTAATAAATCTGTGAAGCACTGTATGTTAAATGTTCGAACATTTTTATCTCAAAATGACTATAAGAAATCGATCCATGTGTTTACTCTTAGCAGTTTACTACTGCAGAACTATTTAAATGATCAGTAGGTACAGCAACCAGTCCTCACACATACACAGTAATTTGACCATGTAGTCCCATACTGAAGTCAACCTAGGGTAACATGGCAAAGGTTCCCTGTTAAGAACAGAACTTTCTTGTTATGTTAGTTCAAGCTCAAGCTTTGCCCCCCAGTGCACCTCTGGCTTGTTCAGTGTCGACCCAATTAGACCTTTTAGATCCACATATGTATTTTTAACTGTTTGCACAATTAAAGCTAAATGTGGTGTTACTTGTTCCAAAGAACATGTACGGTTGTCCCGTTCTTTGGAATAAGCTTCCTGCAGAATTGAGGCCAATTATATCTGTGCTTACATTCAAAACAGACTGTAAAACATTTGCTTTTCACAGGCCTACACTCAATAACTGTGTTTGTTTACTCTTTTCATACTTTCCTATATTATAGTTATATGCTCCTTCATAAAATCAGGTGCTCTCCTGCCTGTACATTTATTCATACTGTGACTGGTCAGGTAGTGCCAACGTTTAAACATTTCTTTTTCAATTTATTTTCTCTCATAACCCATAACAATTCTTTTGTACCACAAACTTAGCTGTGTGTCCTGCTGGACATTGCACTTCTGTTCAGAATGACAGAAATATATTCTGGAAATTTTCCACAGACCTGTAAGCAATAGTTCCTCTGTACCACTGCTGCCCTCTTCATCTTCAAGATCTGAATATATTCAAACAGATGTTGACTTTCATCATCAGTTTCCCATTCTATTCCATAAGCACATTATACTCCAGTACTCACCAATAGCAGATGTCAAAGCCATCACTGCACAAAGAAGTGCGGACACAATCAGCAGCTTCATGCTTATGTTTAGTATCTCTGTGGAAAACAAGATCTGAAGTGACAGGTGGTTAAAAGAGAAAGGAGATTCAGAGAGTTTGTAGCAGGTGATCTATTTCTGTAAGAGTAGTAGCTGTCAGCTTCAGCCTTCCAGTGGGAATGAAGTGGGAAACAGATCTAAGAGCAGCACTTATAAACTGTTATGTTTACATAGTTGCTTAATCAGGAAGTAATATTTCATTAGAAAAAAAACTGATGGAAAAAAAAGTCATGTCACCCAGATCATTGCGGCATTTTTCTCGGAGTCAAAACATCGTGTTGTCTTAATTTCATTTATTGACTGATGATCAAAGAGGAGGATCCACAGAGCACAACCACTCAACAATCGATAAAACTGTCCTCCGTTTCTTTTCTCTTTTTATTTAGAGAGCATCCTGCATTCACCGTTATGAATACAATAATATTAAATTTCACTATTACCAACAAAAATATCTTTTAAGTAATATGTTATTTAATTTTAACATTATTTACATAATTTATTGTGTGTGATGTAAAGCAGCTCACACACCCCATTTGTAACTGATTTGCAGGTATGAGTTTTAATGATGGACAGACAATTTCAGTACTGAAATACATGGTGCAAGGTTCAGTGCTAGCACTAGCAGGGATCTGTCCCAACTCATCTGTTGTAACTATTCTGTACTGCTGTGTAATTTCAGTAGAAAAAGATTAGATCACATTCTCCTTTTGACCTGTAGCATTGGCATTTTTTTTTATTTTACTTGTTCATGCATGTATCCTTTGTGGTCACACTTCGTCTACATATTTGACATGATATTAATATGATTATAATAATTATTAGATCAGCCGGGGGAGGTAGAGCATCGGCCCCAGCCACTGGCAGGTACAGAGTGCTGTTTAAAATCCAGAATAGCATTAAGCCATTTTCATCACATGTTAACATGAGGTGGAACGAAATTATGTACACACGGTCCCGGAGCGAAAAGAGACAGAATAATGAAAAAAACTTATTTTTTTAAAAAATTAATAAATAAATAGTTTAAAAAAGCAGAATAAATCATAAATTGATATGATAAATAATATGATAAGTAGAGTGTAACAACCTGAGTACCAGTATGTGGAGTATGGATATAGAATGTAGGTATAAATATAGGTATAAATACTTTAGCAGCAAAGGGCATGATGACCAGCACTGATAAAGTGACAGTGTTAGTAAGTATACCTGCTACCCTCCACCTGATACTGTCTTATTTAGCAACTTGTTGTTCAGCCTCTGATTTGTAATAGATAGACAACTCTTGTGACATTAATAGCTGAAGGTTTCTGGACTGAACCTGATTTTATTTTCTTTAGTTGAAAATGCAAGGCATAAGCTGTCACATTGGAAAGATGTAAAAACAATGTACGTTAAGAAGGGAAGTTTTTGTTTACAAAGGTGTTGAAAACACCTTAAAAAACCTTTTGAACTAGCTCAAACGCAACTGCTGGCCAAAGTTTATCTGCTCTTAGTGGATTTGCACAGCTGAATTCAACAATATGTACTTATGACCAGGAACACCACAGTCACTGTGCACCAGTGCAACGTAGTGCATTATTGTAAAATCTAAACTGTAAAGCAAGCTGGCCTGTTTAACCCTCACTGAACTTCCTCCTAGTAATTTCATACAACCTTAAAAATAACACAAAGTTAGTACACCATAGCTTTTTTTGCAGGATATCTTCCTGCACTGGCATGCCTTTTCTGACTCTCTCTCTCTCCCTCTTGTTCTCTTTTTCTCCCTGCCTGTGTATGTGTCTTTATGTTCGTGGGTGTGTTTTTATTTAGCTCTTACAGCATTGGTTTGTCCAGGCTTCCCCACCCAGCTGTCAAGCCTTGCTAAAGATCTGTTGGTTAACCAATCTGGTGCTCATGGGGTCATCACAGTGACTATTTTAGCCTGAACCAATCCCTTACTCATTGCCTGATTGTTGCACTGGCAAGAGGTTTTGTGTTGTGGCTTATCCTTAATCCTACTTCCGGGCCTAAAGTAGTCTGCGTTTAATATGGCTTTTGTGTTGTTAACATGTTTAATGTTTTGTATTTTCTTCTATTTAATCTCAAAAAGCTCCTAAAACAGTCAGTGATCACTGTTGACCTCCCTCGGCTTTTATTACCGCTAATCATTTATTTAAGCTCAGTTTTTAAAACCTTAGGATGTAACTACAGCCCAGCCCATGCAGCAGTATATGAATGACTAACCTCGTATTGTGGATGGATTATCTCAGTTGTTCTCCTGGCTGAAGTTTGGTCCTTTTACAGCATCCTGCCATGCGATTACATTTGTTCCTGACCACCGAGAACACTCACGTTAACTTTTATCGAGTGGAAAAAAAGTTAGCTTGTTTATATTATGCTAACATAGCTGTGTCGCTAGCGGTCACGTAGCACATCATTATATACCAGCTAGCCAAACTTCAGTAACCCTACAAACGTCACTGCTGTTTAGTTTTCTGTCTTCATTTATGTTGGAAGTGATAACAGAGCTGTACGTTTTAATTTGTTTCCAAAACCCCGCAGTCAGGACATGCTATATTGTATTTAGATAGAAGCTAGCGAGCTAACTCCTGCTAACTTCTAACTCCGTTAAATGTCATAAATTCCGTTTTCATGGATGCCTGGATGTTAAACTCAATTGTTACACCTGGTAGAGCAGAACGCTGATCATTTTATTAAAGATGAAAGACTTTAGACAGTTTTTCAACTCTCAGTAATGCCATAGTGATCGTTTGATATATGGACCTGCAGCGGAGTTTAGGCCCAGACACGGCTAGTGACGTCAGACTTAACGACCGGATAGCTAAAGAACCATCTACAAAATAAAAAGGTTCTTTGACGTATGATGGTTCTTTAAAGAACCATGAAGATATCTGAAGAACCATTTAAGAACCATAATTTTTCTGAGAGTATGTGAAAGCACAGTGTTGGACACCCTGACTATTCAACTGCTCAGGGTACCTTTATCTCTTCACCCTTTAAGACCTACCATAGAACCAAGTCCGCCAGAGCTTATATTATATTTTTACATGCTGTAGAGCCATTTTTGGGAGCATTTCAAGTTGCTATACATCAATACAACCATTATAGCCCAGATTTTAATAATATGCATTAAGTGCATAGTAATTACATAAATTGCAAAAAAGTGCAATAAACTACAAAAAAATTGAAAATCGTTTTTGTTTTTTAACATATATTTCTAGTTAGAGAAATTTAAGAGGCTTATCCCTCAAAACTGTAAATACAAAAAAGTTGCACAAAATAGTTTCCCACCACAGGAAATTTATTTTGAGTGTCTTCATAGTTTTATTTTTGAAATACACCAATTTTTATATACTGCAGGAAAAACGAAAATAAATATTATACTGCAAATTTGCAAAAAAGCAGCATATGCATCAAAATAAACTATTTCCAGCAGTGCAATATGAGTCCTAAGCATCCCAGAAACGACACAGAAAGTCATAAAGTCAAAGATAACTTTTAAAAACACCAGTATAGGCTCATGAGGCCCTGATGGTAAAAAAAAACTACATTTCCGCGAAAATGACGTCACTTCCGGTTTCGGGCAGGTATATGGACATGCAAAAGTTCGCGCTGACGTCTATTCCAACGTAGGAAGTGTTATGAACAGCTGATCGGATCGGCAAAGCGTGTTTCTGGAATATTATGTTTTTGTTGCTGCAAGTGCTTTTTATGCAGTTTTTGCAAAGCTATATGTGGAAGGAAACTGTGACCTAGGACAAGCTGATGGCATAAGATGTAAGTACAACTCCTCCGGTTTCATATGCAAAAAAAATTATTGCGCTAGCTTATGTGGTTGCAGAGCTACCGGGATTTAAAAATAGTTACGCAAAACAGAGCGTGCCCGCTCCGACCGGCTTTAAAGGGTTAAAGCCCTCGTACACTTGGAATTGGCAATAAGTAATTGTATGTTCTGCAAATCTTTATTTTTGTTCAAGACATTAGCAGTACATATTAAAACAAAAACAAATGATCAGTGTTTATGTGTATTGTGGAATTGTCTTATTACGTCACTCTGTGAATATAACACTGTATGTTATATTATAAAGACCCCACAGACATAACACATGTGCAGTGTATTTCTCTAAAATTCAGAAAAGATTAACTTTCAGGTATTTCTTGTCACCAGGCAAATACTTTCATATGATGAAAGCCAACCCTGCCAGAGGACAGCAGGGCCACTAGTGGTGTGCAGATCGATACTGAAATATCGATTCCTCCGATACCAGCAATTTATGTTCTAGAATCGATTCTCATATTATAATATCGATATTTTAGTACTCTGGGGTAAATTTGTAGTTTTTCCATTAAAATGAACGCAGTGGAAAGAAACTATACAATTCGGATCGTCTAATTTGGAAGGAACTACTTCCTCTTACGCCTTTCATAGTCATATGCGGAATACGGCTGTATAAATGTGTCGCAGCCCCTGGCGTGCACACTCACAACAATGGCTGAGCGCAAACAGAGTCCTGTGTGGACACGTTGTTGTGGCAACACCACTGACCTCGTCAAACACCTCGGAGTAAATCACATCACAGAATATGATAAGCTTATGTTGAGGCGAACTGAAGAGGAGGACAGGGACAGGTGCTGCTAGGGCGAGACAGACGTCTCTCGCAGAGTCCTTTAGTGCTGCAGGCAGGCAACATGCTCAAATAGCGCACAACGTCAGTTTTTTTTTTCTATATGATTATTCTGCATTATTAAGCAATAAAAACAAGTTGTCTGATGTCCTCTAATCATTATGAAGCAATATGGTTATAATAATAATGGATTGGGTTTATATAGCGCTTTTCAAGGCACCCAAAGCGCTTTACAATACCACTATTCATTCACTCTCGCATTCACACACTGGTGGAGGCAAGCTACAGTTGTAGCCATATCGCGCCATCGGCCCCTCTGGCCAACACCAGTAGGCGGTAGGGTAAAGTGTCTTGCCCAAGGACACAACGACCAGGACAGAGAGCCCGGGGATCGAACTGGCGACCTTCCGGTTACAGATACGCTTCCCAACCCCCTGAGCCACGGTCGTTATGTTATTAGTGCAATTACATAATACAATTATATATTGTATTATGAAATGCAATGAAACATTAAGTTTT